CCAGTGTGGTACCACTGTAACACCAGGGAACCAACTGTATTCCTGCACATACCAATTAATTGTTCAGGTTAGTATCTCATAGAATTTTTGTTGTTGTTGTAAAGGTTGGACATTCTGATTTAGGCATTGCCAAGATCCTTTCCCTTAGGTTTTCCTACATGGAAGACCAAATGAGTTTATGAAAAAACACCTCATTTTTCTAGCTGCATGTTCTGAAAGCTTATTAAATGCCCTCCAGTATTTTCATTTGGATGTCCTGATCTTTTTATTGTTGTAGCTACTGCAGTTTAGTTTCCTCTGTTGGTGGATGGAGAAGGGATTCTAGTATTTGTGTTTATATTACTTCTGTCTTTAAAACTATATCAACCTTTGTTAAGCTTTGTTACTTTACTAACTAGAGGTGCACTAGTGAGAAATGTACTTCCTTTTTTGTGAAATACTTAAGTCCACATTAGGAATCCCACTATCTGGGAAATTTTTGACAGTTGATCTCTTCTGTGCATAACTAACCCCTTAAGACGCATTTTACTTCTCTCTCTTTAGGAGAAAAGTTATTTTAAATGTTGGAGCTCTAGAGCGTTTTGGAATTTCTAAAGTGTAGGTCTCTGGATACTAGAATCTGCCAAAATACTTTCTCAGAATGAAAGCGTGATTGTGCAGCAGCTCAGGTTTAAGCATGTGTTATCAGTAGCAGAGTCCAGGACCTAGAGGAGATATTCTAATCACCGAGTTATGTTAAAGCCTATGCTCTTGTATCTTTGTTACTCCTGGTTTCTGGGTATAGTTAGCACAAGAATGTTAGCACATGCTTTAATCACAGTTTAATTTTGATGCATTATTATATACCATATAATTTCCTCTATCATTTGCAATTGATTTATAAGTAAAATAATGTATTCTCTATCTGCTGACCACTTAATCTCAGTCTGGGACTTGACAGTCAAATGAAGTTCTTTTGTGCTTTCTGCTCGCTAATAAAGGTTTTGTGGACTACTTTGTGCCTTTGTTGAACCTTGTATAAATTCATAATTTTCAACATTGAGTTATTTTGTGGAGGCAGACCTTATTTCAAATATTTTGCACAGCTGTAGGTTTTAATTCCATAGAGATAACAACGTTAACTCTGTTCTGGATGGAATATTATCAGTGTTCAGGCACCTGTAGCACAAAGGCTTTGATAAAACTATTTGTGTTGCTAGAAGGGAGAATGTGAACTGCGTTCCCAGTGTTTGAAAGTATTTAGAAACAGGGGAAGGTGTCCTTACTTCCCCCTCCAAAAAGATGTGAAGTAAGAGAAGGCAAAGGAAGCAAATGAGCAAACTTTTTGTTTTGGTGAAGTGAGCAAAGGGTGGAAGCAATCATGAGACATTAGGTTTACAGTGATGAGCTCAGGACTGGCGGATAGACCGTAAATATCAATCTTATCTAAGTTCTGGCAAAATGAACAGGTCTCCAGTCCATTGGTTTCCCAAAGAAGTCATGTGGAAACTTACTGATCCATGAAACTCTGTTAAGAGCTGTGACGCGCTATGTAAAACATAATTATGAATTTGCTGGTTAAAAGTTTGGTAATGGTGAATGATGATCGGAGAAGTGTTAAGGACTGGTGGTGTTGGATTGGTATGAACCTTGTTTATTAGATCATAATTTGTCATTTGTCAGAACATTACTATTTATTTAAGACCTGTAGATTTTTGGCTCTTCTTCCTTTTGAGTTGTAGTCGAATGAGTGCTGCCTTTTTTTTTTTCTGGCAATATACAATATCAGTGTGAACAAGTAGTTTCTTTCTTTGTAAACATGATTTACAGATCTTGTAACAACACAAAATTAGAAAATTTAAAATACTTTCTATATATCTAAGGAAAGGATGGATAATTGTTGTCTAAGGTTTTATCCTCAATATGGTGACTGGAATTGGTGTTTTACAACAGTGGAGATATACAAGTAGATGTTTCTTGGAGAAACTTAATTTTACTTCTTTGCTTATGCCTATGAAAATAAAGTGTCTTTCTATATGAAATAGTACAGTGCAGGGTAATGGGGATTTTCTGTGTATGTTAAGTGTACTGTAATCCACAGCCTATGATGAAAGCCTGATCTAATTTTGTGGCAAATCTTGTTTTCTCCAGTCTTCATGTTAGATTCTTTGACAATCTTAAACACATTAAAATGAGGGTTGTATGAGAATGATTCTGTTACGAGGAAGTTATGTAGTGGTAGTTCAAAATTTTGCAGCAAATGTGAATGCAAAATTTTAAGTTACAATAACACAAACAATATAACACATCCTATATACAAAATATTAAATTAATCAATCAGGCAAATTCTGATAATTTTTATTGGTTGGAAATGGAACAACTCCAGATTTGGGTAAAATTTGGAAGGAATTTGGGTTAGAGAAGCAAGAATCTTAAGTACGGAGTTGGATAATTCATAAAACAATCATTTTAGTTCAGGCAGAAATTGCTTTATGCTAGACACCTGCTTGAGGTTTTTTTCTTTTAGCGATACAGGTGTGAAACATTGAAATTTAAATTTTGAATTTAAAATACATTTAAGAGAAGATGTATTTTAAAATAGATTTTATGAGACTGCTGCTTACATAGGTTGCATATTTGAATAAACTAAACAAATGCATGGATAGTGAGCTATTAATTCTTGCTTAGAGTATCAAGTGCAGTCTACCATGAAACACGAAGGTGATATTTTGGAGATGTCTCCACTCATTTTAAGTGGTATTCATATTGTAATTATTTTTTTTCAGTTCAAAAGCAAAAGGATACTTCTCTTCATCGTATTCATCATTACATAATGGAAAATTTTCAGGCCAAATCAGGTCTTATGCTTGCTTAGTGCTGCTTGTTCAGGAGTGAATGAGAGAATAATGTGAAAGCAGATTGATGTGGGAATCATGATTTGGAGTCTTCTGTACCTGTACACTATCTGTACCTGTAAACTATCACTATTACTGTTGGATTAACGTACTTTATTACACATAATGTACTATACATAAATTTTCAAACTCATTAATGGCTAGGTTGACTGCTTATTTGTTATTTTTTGGTAAAGTTCTTGATACAATTTGAGATTTAATGCCATACAGAAATGCTTTAAATTATAAATCCTTGCAGGTTCAAAGAATAGAAAGAATATAAAGACTGGAATCGTACCTTCATTATATCATCATTTTAATGTCGATTTTGTGATTCCATTGATCTTATTTGTGATATTCTAATAGTTGAGATGGTAATCTTTTGTTTGTAGCACCATATGCTGTTGTAATTACACTTTTTTACCACTTGAGGTCAGCAGCTGCTGAGGAAAGGAAGACATAAACAGTTGCTTTATTGCAATTCATTTTCATTTACTTTATTTAGACTATTTAAAAATGAATACATTCTTCATATCCATACATACATTGTGCAAAACCAGAGGATTTATTTTGAATGAACAGCAGCTGCAGCAAAAAGTCTTCCTTGTGAGTTACTGTAGAGTGAAAAGCTAGCATAGCTTTAGGTGTGTTTGTTGGCTTCCCAAGTAGCGTTGGTAATCACTGTTGCAAAGAATGGTATTCTGTGCAGGCTGATGGTGACTGGATTTCAGTCTTTTATCTTTGTGTTAATGCTAAATTAGTGATACTAAATCAGAATGGAATAATTTGCTGCAAGGAATACTTTGGAATCCAAAAAAGGCAGATTTTCTTCCTTTGCAATAGTAATCAATGCTCTGTCAGGATGCGGAGAAGATGTTGCTCAAAAGTGATTTTTTTCCCCCCTTTAACCTTCACTTAAACAAACAAACAAGAAAGATAGAAAGGAGTAGCTTGGTGTCAAGGTTACTGAACTGGGATTTGGACAGTAAGGGTTTAGTTCTTGGCTCTGCCATAGGCTTACTGTTGGCTTATCAGTTCTTCGGCTTGAGTCTCAGTTTCTTATGTGTAATTCAAAAAAATGCATTCACCTTTTTTGTGAAGTTTTAGAAGAGTTATGTTTTGTCATGGGATTTTTTGATATACTGTTTTAACGGTGGGAATGTCAACAGTAGCATCACAGCTGAATTTTGGTGCTAAGTATCTAATGCCTCCTTCTCTGAAACTGATCAAGTTTCTTTTGAGAAGTCCATTGTTCTTTTCCTAGATTTTTGTTTATTGTTGCTAGTAAACATAGCCTGCATTTTAAAAGTGATTGTATTTCATCAGTTTGAGGTTATCCCCATGCATGGTTGGCACCAACTGATATTCCTGTCAAAACTTTTATCCAAAAATGTCACTGCACCAGACAAATTTAACAATGATTAAAAACAAGGATCAATTCACTGATCACCAAAATGCAGCAGGGGAGATGTAGGTTAAGTATTTGGAAATACTTTAGAGCTATAACAGTGATTAAGTCAAAAGAACAAGCTGCCAAATGAAGTTGGGTAATTGCCATCACTAGAGATTTTCCAGGCTATGAGTATGCATCCATTTAGCAGGGATGGCTTAAAAATAACGTAGTCAATTTTGGCACAATTCAGAATTTGGACTGAATAACTTATTATGGGTATGTTTTATATCAAATGCTTTTTAAAATTTCTTCTGAGTTTACCTTAACTAGGGAAAAGCAGCAGGAGTGTCAGCAAAAACAAGTAAAACAAATTTCCTTTTCTCTTAACATGCACCAGGATATATGAAAGAAGATACAAGTCATAGTGAGAGAGAATAAAGCCCAGATTGATGTGACCTTTATTATTTTAACAGTATCTTTCAGAACAATTACAGAGTTACAGGATTGCAGAGAACAGAGCTGGAGTATAAAATAACATAAATAAATAGAACAGGAGTCAAAGCGGTCAGCAGGAGGTGGTTGGAATTGGGCAGTGAAGGATAGATGGAAGGTTTGCATTGGTCAAAGCCTTTATGATTCAGCCACCATAGTTGCAAATTCTAGAGAAGGGAAAAATTATTTTAAAATATTAAAGAATAATATAAACAAGGAGGGAGCATATTATAATGATTAGAGTCACTGATGTAGCAGGAACATCACAATAGCAGAATAACAAAGAAATCCAAGTTAAAGGGAAAGTATGATTTAGGAAATCTTACAGTGAAGTGAAAGGATTTTTTTGAGGGTAAGGAAGAAATTCTATACGTGCCAGACCATCAAGACTGTCCACCGTTGTTCATCTGAAGAACTTGATTAGTTCACTGTTATTCCTTTGTAAATCTCAATGGGATGAAGTCAAGAACTAGAAATTAAATTTTGTAGTGAGATAAACTTCCTTTATATTAGAGTTTGGCAAAGAGACTCATTAATGAGTCTTATAGAGTATTTGTGTTCATATATTGTAAATATATTACATTTAAACTCAATTTTATAAAGGCAAATTGACTGAAAATGACAGATTACAAAAGCAGAAGGTTGATACTCTCTCTGCTATAAAAACCTACGCAGCAGTCTCGACCACATTAATGATAATGACAAAAATTCCTTTGATTTCAGAGGGCCAGGATTTTACCCTCTTGCTTTTATTACTGCTACATCCATAATACTTATATAAACATATGTATTTGCAGTTGGTGTTGATGAGCAGGAGATGGACAGGGTATTCTCAGAGACTGTGCAGCTCCAGGAGTTTTTTTTTGTATCTCAGTGAGTAGCTGCTTGGCATACTGCACTCTAAATACTGTATTACCCAAGGAAGTTATAATTCCTAACTCCATCTAACCTTGGAGTAGTCACCCATGAGAATACCTTGCGCAGTCGTGTGTGCCTTAGAGCATTAAAAATGACAAACTGGAGGGAATCCCAAGAAGGGCAGCAAAGATGATAAAAGGATTAGAGGATGTATAGCGAATGGTTTATGGGTTTAACATAATCAGCTGAGAGGAAAATGACAAAAAGGGGGAGTAGTCATCTGTAAAGACTTGAGTCATCTGTATTGAAGTTTGGCATAATGAGGAGTAATGTCTTGCAATCAAAAAAAAATAGAAGCTATAAATTAGGCATTTGTAAGAAAATTCTGATATTCAGTTGAAAAATGCTTAGCTCAAGAAAGTGAGGTTGTTACACTACTGACTAAAATGTACTAATGAATAGCGCTTTCGGTAGATGCGTCCAGGAAACATTTTGCCAAACCCTGACAAACCAGACTGAGAAATAAAAATGCCAAAGGATTTAAATTAAATCCACATTTGTCCATCATTTTGAAAGATGCAAATCCAAATTAGGATTAGTGATGCAGCATACTTAACACAAAACATGCATCAATCCTGGACATGGTGGATACATAAATTGAAAGTGTTGCAAACTGAATTAAAGAGATAACATTGAAGCACTTGTGTTAGGAACCAAGAGTATCCTGGGCAGAAAAGGAGAAAGGCTCTGATTGTCAAGTGGCTGTGCGAATAAATCCTACAGAGCAGAAACTCGAATCCCAAATGGGTGAAACCTTTCTAAAAGTGAAAAACAACTCTGGCTATTCTGGTAGAACATGTTGTCATACTTGCTGCAGCTTAACTGAATCCTGTTTATAACAAGTTTTATATACAGAATGTATTTGAAAAAGGTTATTCATACTTGCAGCCAAATATTTTATATTGTATATTATGATAGTGAAATTATTACTGTATTGGCAGTATATTTCAGGGGTACTTCCTGATGTCAGGCAAACTATAAAATAGCCCATCATGAATAACTGCTATACAGATGATACTTTTTTCAGTAGTTTCAATGTACATGACAGATTTAAATACTTCAAATATGTACAAAGTGAATAACTTTGTAAAACTCGTTTACTGTTTATCTTCATACAAAAGTTAGCCCAACTGCAGATGGTTTGTGGGGGCATTGTTACAAACTTTACTGATAAAAGAAAAGCTTCTAATATAAGACACATTATATTACTGCCTCTCTATTGATCATTCTTATAAATGTTTATTGCCTCTGAATCGCCTATTAGTGAGATAATCCTTTTGATTGCTTGCATCCTCTTTTCCAGTTATAATTCCCCTTCCAAACTAATTTAAGTTATATCTTTCTTTGCACAGACCATAGTTTCCAATTACAAAGATTTGGGCTATTTTGGTATTTCAGATAATTTACTGGCTATCTTACATCAAAGCTCTGACTTAAAAGGAGAAGATTGTCTCATTGTGCTTAGTAATACTTACTAGCATATTCCAGCCTAATGCATACCCTGTAGCGTTTTACTGAAATGCCAAATATAATTACAGAGAACATGTTGCAGGCTAGTCGTTTCTCTTATCAGATTTTGTTTTCTACATTATCTCCTACAACAGCAGATCTATTTCAGAAACTTTGTAAACAATGATTTACACTAATTATTTTGTAAGATACGAAAGCACAACAAGGGATAAAAGAAGAAGGACTTTCAAAAGATTTTTCATTTTTATCATGACTTTTACCCATTTTGCAGCCTTCTGAGGGTTTACTGAGAAGGTATCTGATGTCAGGTTGGCTGCTGTAGGCTTACTTACCTGAATCAAGTTTTCTTCTGAAAATCTTGTCCATTAACATGCCACTAATGTTAACAGGAATAAGAAGGACCCATATAATAAAGCGTGTGAAAGTATCTCAAATAAGGACACCTTCCTAGGTTCAATAACGCTGCTAAAGTTCACAGCAGGAACTTCCCTGGATGCTTCACAATTTCTCATCTGCAACTGTGATATCATCACGATTTGAGAACTTAAGAAGCTTTAGATCAGAAATAGGATCACAGTAACTGATATGCCAGCGTGCCGTGAACAGGCAGTTTAGCTAGTATATCACCTGATTAATATGTCAGTGGGTGACTTGGTATGTCATTTCTTCAGTTTCTAAACTAGGAGTCAGTTAATTAACCTCATTTTGTCCCCCTTTTCTTGGAGACATTTTTATACATCCCAGAGATCAGACAACACAGAGATATGAGATTTTTAGATGCTAACCTATCATATGGCCTTTCAATAGGTGGAAACTTAGGGTAGTTTAATGATGTCTAGCTGATTTTGCACTCTGGCCACAAATGTCTGCTACTATCTCCTGCAACAGAAAGATTTAATTCGGAGATGCATCTCTTTGTGTCTTTTCCAGTGTGTTTCAGTGAAACGTTTCTCCCTTTCCCTCTTTTTTTTTTTCCTCCCTTGTATGTGTGCTAATTTAATTCATCCCAAGGGGAAACAGAAAACAACAATATCTTTTTTAGCAATGCTATGAGTGTAAAGGTTGTTCTCATAGCTCTTATATTAGTAAGAGAGTGACAAGTTTTCTTAGCTGTGAAGATCTGCATAAACACTAGCAGAAGCTGGATACATAGTTGTTATATAGAGGTTCGTTCCTTAGCAGACTGACTGTACTTTGAATTTTAAGAACTTGTTTGCTAAGTCATTCAAAGTCTTGCATTATTTTCCTATTTACCAATCAAGGAGAAATGCTGGTACTCAGCTTTGTGTTTATTAGTTTGTTTGTTTTTCCATTGGGTTATATAGTCAAGCTCGGGGTCTGCGAACTCTCAGTGCCCTGATCCTCACTCTCCTGAAATCAACAGAACAATTTAACTCGTTTAAATAGAAGTTGGATCGGGTACTTCCTCTTACGCTGTAGTGTGCCTTAAGATAAGTTTTGATTTTTGTAAACTCTGGCCCCCTCTAGTGTCGGAACTCTGCTCCTGTTTCCCATGAAGCCTTTAAGTAAGGTACGGCAAGTGTAGCAAGACTTGACATTTCATTAAGTCCAAATTGTGCCCTTCAGAAGGTCACAGCCCTCAGTGAGAGTCCAAGGTTTACTGTGTCCTTGTATGTAAGGATAACAGATTTTACTATCAAAGTTTTTTCCTTAAGTTACATACCATCAGCGCCAATTTTACCATCACCGTCCTTATCTCCTGCAGCCATAAGAGCCTTTGTTTCTTTGTCTGATAGGTCTCTGCCATCTGGGGTAAAGCCCTTCAGTACAAACCTAAAGAAAAGGCGAGGAAAAAGGGAAGGTTTGTTCAAAAGAGTTTCACTTTGTATTTATTTGTACCACTGTTTTGATATTTGAGATGGAATTTAGGGTTGATTCCAGTCCTCCGTCATTGACCTTCTTTAACATTCAGAAAGAGTGCTCCACTCAAACTTCATTTGACTGAAGAACTGTCAGTAAAGTATAGATCAGTCGTGTGTTTCAGGCATCCTGCAGTAAAAGCTGCACCTAGTTACCTCAAACACACTTTAGATTATACAATCAGCAAACAACTGATTATAGCACAAAAACACCAGTCAGAAGACTGAATTGTGTACTATTATCTACAATCTTTTATAAAAAGAAAATAGGAAATTAGATTGTTAAGGTGAGGTTATTTGAGAAGGATTTATCTTTACTTACTTTAATTCATCCTCTTCAATGAAACCACTTCTATCCTTATCAAGAATGTGGAAAACCTTCTTCACATCTTCTGGGCTCTTATTTTTCAATCCTACCATCTCGAAAAACTTCTTGTAGTTGAAAGATTCAGCAGCTATAGGAGAAGAAAATGCAGAGAACTGTTTAGAAAAATTATTGAAACATATATACATACACATACATACCTGTAGTTTTCTTCCTTATTGCTACGTGTCCTACCCTGGGAGGCAAACCACGTTCTGAAGGTTGGCTGTGGTAGGAGCTAGACGTCCACACTGTAATAGCCCATACCTCAAAGACACTAATTTAAATAAACAAATGATGAGAGAGATACTGTCTCCCTTTTGCAGATGAAGAGCTAAGCTACAGAGAAATGAAAGCACTTGCCCAAGGTCACCCAGGAAGTTTGTAACAGACTTGGGAACTAAAGTCTAACCTCCACCATCTCATTACAGTGCCTTAACTGCAATACTTTTTTTTGCTAAGTTAATGAAATGTTTTTATGCTGAAAACATTCTTCTGAAGATGAACCCTGACTGTTAGCTTACATATAATACTTCATGCTATTTCCCTCATGGAAAAAAAAAAAAAAAAAAAAAAAAAAGCTCTTGCTCGACCAGAGAGCCTAAGGTTGACAAGAACTGTTTTGGAGCACATGGATATTTCAGTTCTGTTCCGTTTTTCCTGAAGGCTTACTAGAATTCAGTATTACATTTCTACCGCTAAAGGTATGTGCAGTAGTGGTTGTAAGCTTGGACGCTGGAAGGGAGTGCTGTAGGCTGCCTGCAAGACCTTGTGAGGCACAATTACCGGGGAGAAACTAGAGCCCTTGAAACTGGAGGGGAGATAAATTAGTTTACCTGCTCCACCTCTCCTGTCCTTTAACCGCACCCGCTTTTGTCCCCACCTACGTAGGGTTGTTAACGACTCTGATGTAGATTTAGAAAGGTGTTAGCGAAACCTAGTGCGTTGACCTCCAAAACGTGCTGTGGATTTTTTTTTTTTTTTTTTTTGCGATGCTTCCCCGTTCCCGACGTAGCTTTTCCTGTTCCATAAAACTAAGGAGGCTCAGTCATTCGGGATCTGCTTGACTGAGATCTGTCATTAGCTGCTGCTAATTGCATCTGCTCCGGGACTTCGAAACGGCCCTAGAACAATGGAAGCTAATGAGAGAAACAGCTGCTAGATCGAGCAGAGCAGTTTATTGATCCCTTTGATTCTCCGGCTGCTGAGTTTCTTCGGGTTGAGCTGA